TTACGGCTATATATATATATATATACATACATACATACACATACGTACATGCATGCATGCATGCATACATGCATGCATGCATGCATGCATGCATGCATACATACATACATACATACACAGATGCATATGAACTGTATATGTGCGTACCGATGATGCGAGTCTGTCTGGAGGCCACAGGCCGCGGCCTTGCAGGCTCTGCGTGGAAGGTGCGGCTGGCCATCAACGGGCCGGAAGCCCGGTAATCGGCGCGAAGGGCTTACGACGTTTGGGGTTTAGGTTTAGGGTGTTTGTCGGGTCTCAGGGTTTTGGGTCTGGGCTGTACATGGGGTTTATGGGGTCGACGTTGGAGGAGGTTTTGGGTAGGGCTCGGGGAACTGAACTGAGGATCGGGAGTTCTTTTTTGATAAGGGGCTCTCTCCGACAAGATCCTACAAGGATTGGGGATCTTAGATTAGGTATCGGTCCCTCTGTTAACAAGCTCTTTGTCTCATGTATATCGGGGATTTTGCTCAGCTCGAGTGGTTCAGCTTTCGGGTAGAGGACAGTGAGGTTCACTCCCATGGGAAGTCTTCGGGTCAGAAGTGTTTGAGGGCTTTGGCTTTGATGGTTGGAGGTTTAGTGTTGATTTCTGGCAGAAGCTGAGCCAAGATATGGACTTTTGAGGCGGGAGGGCTGACTGCGATTAACTACGACTGTTCTCCAACTCTGCCATCGCTGTTGCGTTGAATCGCTGCCGTCTGCAAGTCGCTGTATTCCTATTGCGCTGCTCTCTTGGCACTGATGTAATCCTAATTCATCAGGAGTGCTTCTTCATGTGAGTGAGTTTGTGACATTAAATACCCGATTTCCGCACCCGATAATTCGGCGAAACTGTGAGAGATACCACCCCTCACTGCGAAACGAGAAAGCAGCTCCGTTCCGTTCCGGATTCGCGAGCCCAGGAAATGGCGCCTGGTGGCCCCGAGCTCAGTGTGACAAATTGCTTGGTGTTTTGCCTGCTTTTTTTTGTGATAAGAGCAGCGACACAGGCCAGAGTTGCCCCAGTCCAGTTGAAGTGCCGGTGCTGACCAAACAGTCTGACAGTATTTCGTCCGGCTGCATTATGTAGGTTGCTGTTCCGGTGATTCCGCTAGTGGTAGGACCTTGTGCCACGCCTTTGCCTTCACCTGCCTGCCATGTCGCTCTGCATGGTGCTCGTTCTGGTGTTGCCATCCCTGGTCGCCACAGAGCCTGTTTCAGAGGGAGCACCCGAAGACCTGGCAGAGAGTTCCTGGAATAACTTCCTCTACTGCAAGTGCGGCCTCAGCTGCCAATTGGAGGAGGCCTCCTGGTTCGCAAAGTCGGTCCGCTTGGGTCCCTGGAGCTCCAGCCCGATCGTCCCTGAGCCCTCCCCAGCCCAGGTTGGTTCCTGGCACGTCTTTACCCTTGGGTCAGCTTGCGGCTGCTTAGAGTGCCCGGAGCAGAACGGCACCAACTCCTCCCTCCGGGGAAGTGCGCGCTCCGCCCCTTCCAAGGACGTGGAGGTTCGCAGCTTCTGGGTTGAGCTGGGACTGTCGGTGATTTCGAATGCAAAGTGAAGGGCATCGGGTTGGGAGTTCGACCTTCTGAGACCTCTCGGCCCTTGGCACGACACCTGAACTGATACTGCATCTCTTCGTCCTCAGCTTTCAGCGTGATGTCTCTCAGTCAGAACTCAGTCATAGCCCCAATGCTTAGTCAATGAATTGAGTTGTCAGTACCCGCAGGTAGCGGCGAGACAGCCAGCAGAAGTGCCAAAGCAGCCATTGGACGGTGATGCAGCTGTCGCCCAGGCTTTGGGGAAGCAATGACAGGAAGTGTAGGAACAAAGCTGGTGGATGCAGGATAAGAGATTTAGCTTTACCATGAAAGCCTTGGAACTTGGATTGCATGGTTTGCGGGCTGAGAAGGGGCAACCCCGAAAGCTTCAGCTGAAAAGCAGCCGTCACGAAGGCATAGGCATAGTTTTGCAGCTTCAAGGTTTTTCAGGTCAGCACCTCCTGAACCGATTTTTGGCCTGGAAGTGAGCAAGCACTCCTTTTTTTTTTCCGTTGGCTTTCTTGAAGGCAATCGGCGCGGAGGTCTCAGCGCCGAACACGAAGCTCAGGGCCACGTGGGACAGCGCCCACATGAAATCCGCCAACCTGCTGTTTTGTGCCTTAGCCTGCAAGTGTTTAGCTGGGCACGCTCTCGAGCGATTGTCATTTACAGCAGATTATAGCAAAGATCCTGCCGGACAGACCGCCTGAGATCGGGTGCATGGAGTGCTCCCAGCCCGAATAAACCTTTGAAGAATGAAGAAGGCGAGGACGACAGCAAGAGACTCATGGATGTAGCAGTGTGTTCGTGGCTAAGGTAGGTGCGGCAAGCACTGCGCCAAAGGCCGCTATGAATGCAGGCCGTGCTAAGGTGCAGAACACCGATGGGTAGCCTTTGTACAGTTGCTTGGCGTTGCCGCGAGCACCCCAATAGCAGCGTGAGCTGACCCCAGGCCCCTGCAATTTGTTGCCACCGTTTCAATTTGGGGGCGTTTGGAGCTGTGGAGCTTTGTCCAGCAGCCGCGCTGCACAGGGGGGCGAGGGATCGACCCTCGGAATTTGCAGTACAGACGGCAGCCAAGTCTCTTGAGCACCAGTCGCAGGTCCGCTCATGACATTGGTAGGCTGTCCATGCTAGGATCACATCTTCCGAGACTGCCGTGATCCGAAGACAGCCAAAAGAAACGCTTCATCCCTGGGGCCTTGCGAGATGTGAAGGCAAGCGTGCCTTTTGTACCCTGTGCACATCCAGTTTTAGCCAGCCCTCGGAAAAAAAGCAGAGTCTAAAGCCTAGATGGTTCCCATGACGTCAAGGTACCTGCTAAATAGGAATGCAACATGGGGCAGGACATTGAGATGTCGAGATGGATGTTAGGAGAATGGCATTGGTCTGGGGCTTCAGGCAGGCTGTCGCTAAATTGCAAAGTCTCGAATCGGCTGGACCTTAAGCGGCAAGGCATGCAACCCTCTCGTTTGTGCAATTTGTTCAGCAGCGAAACTGCCAAGAGCTTTGCCAAGCAGCAAGCTGTAGCCCCAAAAACCGACCCTAAACCCTAAACCCCCGAAGCCCACGTCTCATTGTGGACTGTCTGGGCTGACCCGATGGGCCAGCGCTCAGGAGTGGGAACGTCTGGAACAGCCCTTGGTGCCAGTAGTGCCCCGGCAGAACTGAGGGGTCCTCGTAGCTTTCGGATCTCTTGGGGTCTGATTTCAGGAGCTCGGGCTTAGGGTTTTAGGGGCCGTCAAGTGATGTTTCAGGCCGAGCTCCGTTGCACAAGCTTGGAGACCAAGCTTCGATTGGTTCCTAAAGTCCAAACTAGCAGCATGAGTGTTTGAAGTCCTCCTCACTCAATTCTGGAGCCATCCACCACAGACCTGTATCCTAAACTCGAAGCAAAAGAGGGGTTTGTGGATTTTCTGGGCTTAGCGGGTGATTCAGGGTATGGGTTCAGGAAGATTGATGGGAGCTTCACTGGCCGTACCGCCTGAGGAGGACCTGAAAAAGGGCGCCTACTTCATCACAGCTGACTTCAATGGCTGGGGCATTGATCCTCGGCCATTTCTAAGACTGCAGAGCTAGGTTTTTGACCCCCCACCCTCTCTGTGCAAAGCAGAGCCCCTCCAGGGCTTTCAGCATGTTTCTGTAAGCCTTGGCACACGCTTGGCCTTGTTTGCGAACCGCCCGCGCTTTTGCACTCGGACTCCGGGGTTGCCCTGAGTTCATTTGCATCGCTCCAGGCCTGCTATGAGTTGTGAGCCCAAGGCTCCAAAGCCCTCTTCACATTTTCTCTCTGGCTGCTTTGGAAAGAACCGAGGAGCCCATGGTGCAACAGGCCGATGGCAGCTGGACCTTTGAGGTTCACCTCATTCGTCCAGGTGGACCGTGGTGGCGCATGTGAGAGACGCCCCTGCATGCTGAGCGAAATGACACCACGTTGGATCCGAGGAGCTTGCTACCCAACGGACTTTGTGTCATGTAGCTTGGACTGCGTGGGGTTAGGTCGATCGTCGATGGTGTATACTCAGATACACAGCCAGCAAATGCGTGCATGGGTTGGCTGGGTAGGGTATGATTGCGCACGCAAATCACCTACATTTTCGTATGTATATAAGAAGATAACTAAGCCTCCACACGAAGATAGATTACTAGCCTCGTTTTACGTGTAATGTCAGGTGCAAAAGGTCGAGGCTGCAGAGGCTGCACCTGGGTCTCGTTAGGGCTGCATAGTGAGCGAACACTCGGCAACCCGGAGAGCAAGTATGCAGCAGCCGCGACCATCGAGTTGAAGCCAAACATGCCAACACAGATGATAATTAGATGATACTTCTGGCCACGTGCCGTGAGCTGAGCTGGGCTAGTTTGGAGGCCCCTTCCTCTGGTAAGTCTCCGTCTCCGGTCAACGGTGGAAGCATGGGACCTCGCACTGTGATTGCAACGGGGGCGCATTTCAGAGGCCTTGATGTGCCAGGTTCAAGTCTTGGAAAGGCCTTTAATTCTATTGACGCCTTCATATGGAGAAGGATTGAACCGAAAGCTTGCACTGCGGCGTTCAGACCCTGACAGGTGGTCAGTTTCAGATCCTCAGAAACCGCGACTCGGAGCAGGTTCTGCGCCTCGGCCGCACCCGAAGGGCCCTCACAGGTGTTGGCTTCGGCCAGCTGGGCTTGTTAAGTTTATGGCTTGCTCTTATTCTCCTGTGGTTCGGGGTTGGTCTTCGGCCCATGTCCTCAATCTGAGGGGCTTCGAGCCCGGCCCTTCGGGCCTGACTTCCAAGTTCCCTAAGTCTTAGACTCTAGTCAAGGTCTTTGTTTCATGATTACAAGCAACACCCGTTGTAACCCTGACCCCTGCAACCCCAAGCAAGCCAAAGGTATCCGGCTGCCTGGGCGGATCGAGACCCTTCGGCTGTGCGTGGTCCGGACGATGGTAGCGACGGCCGCTGTTGGTACCTCAAGGTCAGTTAGGGTCCGTTGAAAAAGCAAAGGCAATCCGAACCATGAAGAAGAAGAAGACGAAGAAGAAGAAGAAGAAGAATAATAAGAAGAATAAGTTGAAAATCAACATGGAGAATAATCATTAACAAAACGAAGCTAAACATTGCATGACTTGCAACATCACCATACTGATGCTAAGACTAGTGGTGATGCAGGTCTCCTTCTTCTTGTTGTCACTGTCGTGGTCGTCGTGGCTGTCACAGTTGTTTTCCATCTTGTTGTCGTTGTTGTAGTTGTTGAAGCTGTTGCTGCTGAATCACCGGAGGTGATGGCGGTGTATCATGATGTTGATGCTGGTGGTGGTGAGACTGATCATGTTGCTGGTGACCGTAATATGACGGCCATGATGCTGATAACAACGGTGGGTGTGATGATGATGGAGATGATGAAAGCCAAAGGCAGCCTAATTCTAGTTGATGATGGTGGTGGATGGTGATGGTGGTGGTCAGTGTGGCAGTGTTGTCGATAAAGAGAGAGAGCTTCCCCCTCCGCCCGTAACCCTGCCGAAAGAAAGAAAGAGAGAGAGAGACAGAGAGAGAGAGAGAGAGAGAGAGACAGAGAGAGAGAGAGAGATAGATAGGCCAGGGGGGCAACCCTCGGGCCCACAACCCTGTCGAACGAAAGAAAGATAGATGGAGACCAATCTGGCGGCGATGATCGTGATGATAATAAGGAGGGTGCAGACGTGGATATTGGCAACTAGTTATCATTCTATAGTCGAGACGGTTATGCTTCTGCTGTAGTGATGCTGCCTGTTGATGCTTCTGCTGTGGTGTTGGGAGGGTGCCGCTGTTGTTATGGTGTCTGCGGCGCCAAAGACAAGTGTGTGGATCATGGTAGTCTTGTGATTATGATCCTGATGATGCTGGTGATGGTAATGATGGTGTTGCTGGTGATGGGATGTGGCGGGGGTGGTGCTGGTAGTGGTGCTGCTTGTAGTGGTGGTTAAGGTGGTGCTCGCTGCTACTCTGCTGTGGTGATTCTGTGGCATGCTGATGGGGAGGGAAGGAGTGGACACCATGAGTATCTGCAGTAGGACGACCATGCTGATGACGAGCAGTTGGAATTTAGATTTGCTTCACCATTCTTAACCTCACCGTGGGCCTTTTGCTTTCACTATTATCGTTGTCACGATCTTGATTGGTATTAGGACCACTGCAGGCAGTGCACACTACGAGGGCGACAACCAGTCCCACCACGGCGACTATCATTACACCACTAGTACGGGAGTTCGGACCTTCACATTGGCTCTTCGTTCTACTATCTTTCGTCGTGACGAGGTACATTTTCAAATCTGTTTCTGCTCACTGTTGCAAGAGAGCTCCTGCACTGCTCTGAGCCCAAAGTTCTTTTCCAACGCCGGGACTCCTCGGCAGTTCCTAGCCTGCAAAACTACATGCTGGGCCACAGGGTGAGCAGTGTGACGTCTTCTGCGTGTCCCTGCAGCGCCGAATAGACGACGGTCTGGATGTGCCTCGCGGGCTGCAGCGAGTCTTTGGAGCTAGGGTGCAGTTTGTGTTTCCATAGGTTATCAACCACAGTAACCACAAGCCGCCAACAGGGAAAGTCGAGCAAAAGAACCTTCCCGCTCCAAGCAAACAGTCAAAAGGAGTCTGAACCCGAACCGCGCAAGCGCAAAGGCTGTAAACCACCACGCTGTGCAGCCCCCGCTCCCCCAGCACTGACTCGACTCGACCTGATGAAACTGAATTCCGTTCGTGACACCGTAGTGCAAGTCAGACCATGACAACTTCAGGAAGAAGGTCTCCATCGAGCGCACGGGGCAGAAGGAGACCGAGGGTTCACTGCACCAGCTTCGAGTTGTGCTTTGTAAGTGCGTGCAAGATTTGGAAGCCCTGTGGTCGTTCTGTGCACATTCAAGCGCTGAATTGTTTTGTATTGCATGTTGCTTGAGCAATACCACAACCAACGTGACGGACACTTGCGAGATGACAAACGACGGAGTGGACCTCCACCTGTAGAACCTGGTATTTGTGTCGTATTTCGCACCTAAGATTTCAAACACTAAGAATGATCTGGAACTCGACTCCAATACATGGCAAAAATCCTCGAGCCCCAAGATGCCAGGCTTTCCCAAACCCTGAGCTTCCGAACGCAATCGCCAACATATCTTAGAAAGCAGCTCTAAAGGAATTATGCCTCGAAACAGGAGCTAAACGATGCACAGCTTCGACAGCTCGGGCGCCTCCGATTAGCCGCTTTCGGAACCTGGGATCGAGGCCTTGATGGCGCTGAGGGGTTTTGTACGGTTTCATTTGGTTCAGGAGTGTTCAGGATTTTGGATTGTGGGTGATTCTCAGCCAAAGGGCTTTGGCAACGTTTAGATGGCTTCGTCGTAGGCTGCACATGTTCTTGATACTGTTCTGCAAGTAGTATGAAAAGGTGTTTCGGCTTTTGCAAGTTTGCGTTCTTGTCGGGCCTGTGGGGTTGCGCATTGTTTCCGGATGAAGCTCAGGCTTTATCGTTTCAGGTTCTTTTGCATGGTCGCGGTAAAAGAACCATGTAGGGGGAGAAGTCGTGGTAGTGGTCGTGGAATGCAGCGGCAAAAGTGCTGAGTCGGCGTCGGCATCCTTGTGACCATCGTCGATCCACCATGCCCGAAACCATCAGCCCGAATCCTGATCCCTGGTCTCGAAACCCTCAACAAAACTTCGCTTGCACTCACCAGCTCCTAACAATTCCGCTCTGGAAGGCTCGAGACTACGCGAGCTGCCTTGGGCCGGCGCTTTGGCCCACATAAATTGTGCTGTGCAACGATTATGTTCGACGAGTAGCAACTATGGACATCGTCTTCATTGTCATTGTCAATGTCGTCATGATGCTGATCCTCCTCCTCCTCCTCCTCCTCGTCATCATCATCGTCATCTTCATCATCATCATCGTCATCATCATCATCATCATCGTCATCATCATCATCATCATCATCATCATCATCAGCATCATCAGCACCATCAGCAACATCACCACCATCACTATCAACATCATCATCAACATCGTCATCGTCATCGTCATCATCATCATCATCATGATCATCATCATGAACACCAGCAACAACATTACCATCACCATCCCAACCATCCCTATGTCGGCGCCGTCATCGCTCAAGGAAGAAGACAGTTCACTCCGAAATCGTACGTCGTAGGTGGTTGGCCGCAGGCTCCGAGGCTGGCTAGGACGGTCTCTGTGCCGCTGTGCCCCAAACGTCACCCTTGAGTCTTCGAAGCACTGCGCATGGCAAGCTACTATTCATCGCCGCTTGCCAGCGTAGGCGGGCATTGCAAGGGGACAAAGTATGAAGAGGCATCATCAGGATTGTTCCTTGGCCTTCACACCCCCAGCCCTGACCGGTGGACTGCACGTTCAGCTAATGAATCCGACAAGGCACCTGCTTCCATTTCTTCGTGCAGCTCGGCTCCGAAGGACGTGAGTCCTTCCAGCTGCTGGAGGAGCTCATGACTCGGGATTTGACTTTGAAGCTTTCAGGGTTTGAGGCGACTTGGTGACTTGGTGATTAATGTCTTGGGGGTCTTCAGCATCACAGGGTTGAGGGTTAAACTTTCAACCATGCATTTCGCAGGGGCAAAGTTCGTTGGCCTCGGCTGCCGGACCGGTCATGCCTGCTCGCTGGCCTGAGCACACTGAGACTTAGACCATTCGCCCGGCAGCTTCAGTTTCGTCGGTCGAACCCTCATCTACCCAACGGTACTGGTGCTCTGCATCTGTGCCTTTGGCCGTGCAGTTCGCCCACCAGGCAGTTGTTGTTGCTCGTTGTTCTTGGAGATTCCGTGCTTCTGTCCCTTGTCCTCCTCGGGCTCAGGCTCTTCTGGGTCCCGTTGCTCGAGTTTGAAGATTGCGTTTTTTCGTTTTGGCTTTCCGGACTGGCATGAGGGGCTGACGGTGTTGGTGTAGTGTTGGCTTGAGGCTGTGCGACCGTTTCGAGTTGAAGGCCTCGAGTTAGCACTCAACGTTGAGGCAGGTTGATGGTCCGAAAGGGTGAACGGAACGCCCGTGTTGTGCGTTTTGGTTACGAAAATACAGATTTCGCACAGAACTGCTGAAGATCATGCAGACACATGCGTGCAACAAGGGAACGTGAAGACTTACCACCTGCAGCAAATTCTGCGATGGCGGCCGATGCCGGAGCAGATAGGTGCGTAAAGCCCAAAGCCTCCCAACAGCCATTGTAGCTGCAAGCAAGACCCTTATTTAGACCCACGGAGTGGCAGATCTTTGAAGGACTTCAACTGGAACAGGGTCATTCATCCATCTGCGGCTGGCTCGCATTTGCAGGGTTTTCCGGATATAGGTTGCTCTGCACCGCGTGTAGTACACAGCACACAGCAAAGAGCAGTTCTATAATCAGGAAGCTGTAGGGCACGAGGGCCATAGAGTCATGCGGAGGTACACCCAAAAGACTTGGTGTGAGTTTGTGTTCGGTGCTACACAAAGCTTCACGGGGTAGGAAGAGCAGAGCTTGAGCTTGCCCTGGCACTCGACATGTTTATGTTTATCTGGCTATCCTCCACGTCCGCTTTTCAGACGGTACCAATGCAGCAGCAACAGACGCATGTCAAGCAACTGCCAAACAGTCGCACAGAAAGGATGCAGGATTCGCAACAGTGGACATCGTGGCGGCAAGGCGACTTGCGGATAAAGCAGTAAAGTAAGTTCGTGTGGCATTAAAGGCTTGCGATCAGGGTTGTGGCATTGTTTTCTGAAGCGCTCAAGGTTCCGAATGCGCGTGCCGCTGTCGAGTACAAGGCTGTGTGGACATGGTACAAGTTGGAGGTTTTGGGCTTTGAGTTGCTTCGAAGACTCTGTCGAGAGGCCTTGACTTCGAGTAGCTCTGAGCAGCGAAGCACGGCCCAGCAGATGCCAAGAGCCTCCTCTAGAATCTAGACAGGGGCAGGGTCCACCAAGATCTATTGAACTCATGTATGCCGCTGCGTGTGAAATTTAGGCCTTTAGGCCACTTTGGCCCTGGCATGGATCATTAACTGACCAGCGGCACGCCTGTTTGCACAGAGTTGCTGCGATTGGCGAAGGCGAAGGCATCCCAATGACATGCCGAAACATGTTTACTACCGCAGCAGAAATTTCTCACCAACGTTTTAGACATCCGTTGCCATCCCTTTCTGACAGACTTTCAAAGTTCTCCTGATCCTGGAGCATGAGCCCAGGGAAGGTGCAATTTCCTACAAGCTGGCATCCCGAAGCACTCTCGAGCGGAAGTCCGCAAACCTTGGACTAGATCCCGCCCCGACAGCTCGGCAGAAGCCACATGGATCCTCCAGACAAGCCGCAGCTTCAAAAACCCCCAAACCGCAGAAACCCCGAAGCCGAAGCCTTCCGGGTCTTGAGCTTCAGGTGGAAGGTCCGGAAGTCGGTGATGCCAAGACCCGAGGCACATTGTATTTTTGTTTTGGGGGGTGATTTGGGTGTTTTTAGCCTGCCTTTGGCATCATTTCGCATGTTCTGTGGATTGGAGGTCTTTGCAAGGCCTTCAGGCTTGGAGTGCTTGAGGGTCAGTCGTGTTATGTAGGGCATCCCTGAGTGGTGCTGTTGCTACTCAGATCCGTGCGTGCGGCCTTCAAGCTGGTCATGAGTGTTCTCACTCGAGGGTTTAGGTGTTCCGAGTCTCAGGCTTCCAGGTTCAGTACCTGTTAGTAAGGATGCCGGGGTTTAGTAATTTAGGGGCTCTCAGGCTGGGGTCCTTCCTCCAAGCTATTAGACCGTAGTACGGCCCCATGTTCGCTACTGGCAGCTCAAGGGCTCGGATTCGGTCCGGCAGATCACAAGCCTGAAGCCTCACCCAAGTGGCCGGAACACCTTCGTGGCCTTACACGCTGGCCGCATGTGGGCCCCAAGCCCCGGCTGCACGAAGGGCGTGATTCAAAGCGCGATGACTGAAAACCCCCAAGCTGAACCTGCAAGGCCCTGAACCTTCAACAAGTTGAGGCTTCAAACACCCGACTGTCTGCACCTTGGCACCAATCACTCCAGGCGTACGATGAATCCCTGACCCTGACCAATGCGAATGCTAGCACCACATAGACAGGCGTCCTGATCCCAGGACCCTAAGCCCAAAAGGCCCTTAGCCTTAGCCGGCCTCCCAGCCCGAAGCCGTTCCGAACCTTTAGCATATAAACAGAATCCGTGAGCCTTGGACAAGCCTCGTGCGATACGAGCGGTAGAAACCGTTGCTGATGTTTGCTTGCAATTCTCGTTGCGCAAGTCAAGACGAGTAACTGTCCCATGAGAAAAGACAGGCACACCAACACGGGCTTTAATCCTATACCCTGGGGCCCTAGGTTTAATCTCCAAACTCACACCCAGAAGCCCTAAACCCTAAGCCCCTAAACCCTTTAATCCCAGACCCGGAGGTTCAATCGTCAAACTCAAAACCGGAAACCCTAAAAACAAAACAACAACTCTAAAACCCCTATAGATCCTAAAACCCTAAACCAGAAACTCCCAAAGCCAGGCTTGAACTGGACGATCGGGCTGGACGGCTACGAGAAGCCGGGGGATGTCTTCGACCCCTGGCCTGTCAGGGGTTTGTGCGCTGACCACAAACCGGAGTTTTCATGTGTTCCATCGTCGCCAGAAGTAGGAGCTCGCAGACAAGAGACGAGACTATGTTAAGGCTGGTAACAGTGATTTCTGTCAGCCGCCTACGTCAGTCAGTATAATGCTTGGCTTCTGTGATGGGTGACTTATTTATTATCTATGGTTTAGGGTTTCGGATTTAGGGTTTAGAGTCTGGTATGTAGGGTTCCTTAGATTTGAGGGTTTGGGTCTGCTCTTGAGTCCCAGTTTGCGATTTTCGATTCGGGTGCGGGCTCGGGGTTGGAGGCTATGGGTCCAGGCGCAAGGACGTGTAGGGCAGGAGGCTAGAGCTTAGTCCGCTTCAACCTCCAGCCCTGGACACAGAAGTCCTAAGTCGAAGGTCGGAACAGCGTTGAATCTTACTAAACCTCAAACCTCAAAACCCCAAGCTCCAAAGTGCTCTAAACCAAGGGGGGTGCCCCGATAGGGCTCTCCAATCTCTTGGCCCTGTGCCAGACGGTGGAGCAGGAGCAAAAAGCAGATCAACAAAAAGGTCCTTAGACCCTCAATCCTGCACCCGGAAGGCAAAAGGAGCTCAACAACAAATAGTTTCTACCGAGCTGCACAACCTCGCTATTCCCTCTAATGTTGGGCTGTGGGCCGGCCTCATTGGGTTCAGGCCACGCAAAATCGGTTGTCTGATCTGGCTCCAGCATAGAGGTATTCCGACTTGGGCAGGGAGGAAAGGGCCTACAAAGAAAAGCAACCTAAAGGCCCGAAGCCTTGAACCCATCCTCAAGCCAAGCTCTCTGAAGTGTCGCCGTTGGATCGCGCCTTTGAACCCAGACCTCGGGTCCAAAGGTTCTGAGACATTCTAGGCTGGCTTCAGGGCTTGCGCTTAGGGTGTGCAGCTCAGATTTAGTGTTTGATTCAGGCGCGGGGCTTTAGGACCCGGTGCGCCCCAATGTTCTCAAAAGCCCTGAGCAAGCCCGAGCCCTAGGAAGTGCTCGTGTACGGTGAAACCCATCGTGTGGAGCGGGTGCGGTGGCAGCGCGTTGATCCGATGATCGGGGTGCCTCGGCCAAGATGTGTTTTGTTTGCTCGTGCATGTACTCTCCGCTTGCAACTTCCCTTCGCTGACTTTAAACAGCCGAGCTGACCTCTCTCCAGAAAACCAGCCTCCGGATACCTCGTCATGGCCACCTGCTACTGCCCAAAAATTCCGCCCTGCAGAAAACCAAGACACAAAATCTTGGTCAGCAGCAGCCACTGCTGCTTGTCTTTGTCAGGCCGCCGCCATTCGCAAGGCTGAAGAGACGGGCTTGCTTTTCGGCAAGTAGGGAGGAGCCTGTGAAAGGGGTCCAGGGCGAGCATCAAAACAAATCAGATCCTCAACTTGTACACCAAATAAGCCATGCAGCGAAGCAGCATGCTAATTGATGTTTATATGGTTCTTCTTGCGAGATGTTTACTACCAGAAAGTGCCGTGTCTACTCTTAGAACTATCTCCCACACGCGGTTGTAGCCCTTTCCATCAAGAACTTTCTCATGTGCTTCTGCTGATGTTTGTTACGCAGTAGTCGTTAGTATTAGTGTTGTTGTTGTTACTATTGTTACTATTATTATTATTAGCAGTAGTAGTAG